TATTGCTATAACTGAATCCTGGTTATCTGAAGATGTAAGTGATTCTGAAATATTTCCAAGCTCCTATACTGTGTTTAGAAGTGATCGAAACTTTGCAGATACGGGTTTGACTAAGGGCGGTGGAGTGTTATTGGCTGTGAACAGTAAATTTAGGGCAACTGCTGTTAATATTGATGTAATTAACTCATCATTTCCGCATATTGACCTCATAGCATGTAAGATTGTAACCAATGAAATTTTGTATGTTATTGTGTTATATATTCCCCCTTCAGTTGCTTTAGATCAATTCGAGGCTTTTGTAGATGCTATTGAATCTTTACACTATCTTTTTGCGCAATGTAAGGTGTTAATACTTGGTGATTTCAATGTTCCTTTATTTAATTCTCATATAAGTGATACTAAAACTAATATAGTCAATAATTTCATGGCTTTTCTAAATCTCAGTCAACGGAATGATATTGTTAACAGTAATAATAGACTGCTTGATCTTGTTTTGTCAAATTTCGATTGTATCTTAAGCAAGGATGAAAGCCCTATTGTGCGCGTTGATGATCACCACCCGGCACTTAACTTTGTTGTGAAGTTGGAGTGTTCCAAACAGGCCGATTTTAATTTTGCTCACTGCTGCAAAAAGTATAATTTTAAACGTGCTAATTACCCTTTGCTATATGAAATGATCCAAAATGCAGATTGGTCTTCCGTCAGGTCATGTGCTAATAACAGGTTTTATCAAATATTAACCAGTATCTTTGATACATGTATTCCAGTATTTAAACATTTTAAAAGAAAATATCCACCTTGGTATTCTGCAGATATAATAAGCAATATACGTAAAAAAAGTCTAGCACATGCTAATTTTAATAAATATGGAACTTGTTACCATCTTGAGCAATTTAATTATTTAAGATCTCTAACTAAAGCTCAAATTAAAACGGCCTATGTAGCCTATAAACAGAATCTCGAAAAAAATATAGTAACTGATCCCTCTAAATTTTGGTCGTTCATTCAATCCAAGAGAAATTCATCAAGGATACCTGGTATAATGCATTATAATGACAGTACATTTGACACTCCTCAGGATGTGGTTAATGGATTTTCAACTTTTGTTTCGAATGTGTACCTGCCCTCAAATGTGGCTCCCCTGAAAGATTGTAACTCATTTGGTAGTACCTGTATAATTATTTATTCCATCTCAGAAGATGATATCATCAAAGCTTCCAAAAAATTGAAAAATAAAATGACATCTGGAGTTGATAATGTTCCAAGTTTTATAGTCAAAGATTGCATTTCCGCATTGGCTACACCACTATGCTTAATATTTAACCTTATATTGAAGAATTGTGAGTATCCTGACTTGTGGAAGTTGACTAGGATTTGTCCCATATTAAAGTCCGGTGACCCGTCACAAACTAGTAATTATAGACCTATTGCTATTCTATGCAATTTTGGAAAACTATTGGAAACGATCATTTATGACAATGTTTACAGTTCAATAAAACGAGTAATATCCCCCTTCCAGCACGGGTTTGTGGAAAATAGATCAACTGTGACAAATTTAACATGCATCACTCAGTATATATCTAGCATTCTTGACAGACGGGGGCAAGTTGATGTTATTTATACCGACATACAAAAAGCATTCGATCGTGTTGATCATTTCCTTTTATTGGCTAAATTAGATAATATAGGGTTTTCATCTAATCTATTGACCCTGATGAGGTCTTACTTGGTGAGTAGGCGGCAATTTGTGGAATATGGCGGATACAAGTCTAACGAATATTTGGCCACATCGGGTGTCCCGCAGGGGTCAAATCTTGGTCCACTTTTATTTTTAATATTTATCAACGATTTGTCTTTATTGTTAAACTCGCGCCACTTACTCTTTGCTGATGATTTGAAAGTTTATATGGAAATAAGTAACTTAAATGACTGCATTAGCTTACAAAATGTTTTGAATACTGTCAGTCAGTGGTGCAGTGAAAATTTTTTGAGTCTCAATATATCTAAGTGTAAACTACTTTCATTTCATATGAAATATAATCCGATAGTATACAATTATTCTCTAAATGGTAGCACTTTGGAAAGAACTGATAGGTTCAGAGATTTAGGCGTGATTTTTGACCCAAGATTAAATTTTTCTGAACATATTGCACAGGTTGTCGCATCAGCATCCAAAACATTAGGTTATTTTATTAGAAATTGGAATTGTTTCACTGATGTAAGTACTTTAAAAACATTGTATGCCTCATTTATAAGAAGTAAATTGGAATATTGTGCTCTCATATGGTCGCCATTTTATCAGAATGCAGCTTGCCGTATTGAGTCGGTGCAACGCAAGTGTCTGAAATATATGTTTTTTAAATGTAATGGTTATTATCCCGAGAGAGGTTTTGACTATAATCTTTTTCTTACTACATTTAGCATAGACTCACTGCATACAAGACGCAATTTTGCTGCTCTAAAATTTTTGTATAAACTACTGCATGATGAAATTGATTGTCCACAATTAGTAGAGCAGATTTTGTATCTTATTCCAAGGCAAGAATCTCGTCAACAGCGTATGTTCCATATTGGCCTATGTAGGAGCAATGTATTACTTAGATCACCGATTTTCAATATGTCCAATTTATTTAACCAGATTTGTTCTTTATGCGATATTCATCGTGATAGTATTGGACATATTTTGTCAATTTATAAGGAATCTGTTGCCTTGTCTGGGTAATANTATTTTTACTAGATCGATTTTTGACCTTATGTACTTTGGAAAGTGCCAAAAAAATGCCTTCTTTATCATGACCTTAAATATCGCGTTAATATTAGAAATATTTCAGAAGTTTCAAACCCCAAGTGACAAATTAAAAGAATTATAGAGTTTATATATTAAATTTATAGAATATTGATTTTTATAGTAATTAAAAAATTAAAACTATATTAATATTACTGAGCATGCGCATTAAAGATAAAAAATTTAGTTCCGCTTGAGAGTACGTATATAATAAACCACTTGAAAAAGAAATACTCTATAATCGGACTCACACAGTTGAGCACCAAGAAAAACGATAAAAATACTTGGTAGAACTAGAAAATGTCAGTCAATTAAACAAGATATCAAGAAGAGAAAATACGCTAATGATGACATCGATGATATATCAACAAGATCTCACCTGCGTATAACGCTATTTTTTCCGAACATGCGCATTAGGTATAACACGGCTAATACTAAATTTTGTATCGTTTTTTGTAAGTTTGAAGCACATTAGTGCATCTATTTTACGAAAGACGTGTTGGATGTTCTTAAATACTTCTAAATCCTTGTAAAAAAGAGTTAATTTGAAGTTTCTATAGTATCTATGTAAATAGTAAACAAGATTCGACCTGTACAATTTCGACTGACAATTTGTTACGGGTTGCCTAAATGTGTGACGTCACACTAAAAGAGTCTATTGCCTATTCGCGAGAACAAGGAACAGTAACACATATTAATTTAAAATCACTTTAATATGAAAGCTTTTAGTTTTATGGCTTTACATTTGAACAATTTTAGTTGTTTTGGCAGTATTATTCCCGAAAAGAAAAATATAAATATAAGTAAAAATACATTGTTCAGTATCGAGCAGTAATCATTTTACTTTACNCAAAAAAAAACTATTTCGTGCTATTTTTTAATCGTAAACTTTTTTACTTAAATTTCATAAACATCTAGTGGAATTTAGTAGAATTTCTGTTTCAATCGAGTGAATTTCTTAAAATCAAGTTGGCAACACTGCTCTGAATATTCATTTCTTAAAGAGGAAATGAGATGGATACACTGATTCGTTCGCGCGCTGCTGTTGATGATTGATGGAAGGCCAGGGCCGTCCGTATTTTATTTCAGTTTCAAGCAAAATTATGCATTTTATGGATGCAAATAGTGAAAAAAATTAAAAAAAAGTAAAATTGTGATTAAAGAAGTGACAAAAAGTTAAATAAGTAAACACTTCAAGTATTCATTTTAATGGTGTACTTCCCAAATTTATTGGTGAGATACTGCCTCACCTGCCTCATCATAGGACAAGCCGCCACTGCTGCGAGTACCTACCACTTGTTATGATTCTCCTGTATGAATAACATGAAAAATTAATATTGGTCTATTTTTGTGCAAAATTGGATAAAAAATTACTGATTTCAAACGTACATTAGTGAAACTTGTTCATACTTCACAATTTGCAAAGAATAATAATACACCACCCCTTCTTAGGCGAAAGTGTGATTGAAATGGATAAGGATGCATATTTCAGAGATACAGGAGGTAATTATTTACTTTAGTGGCACCACCTCCAATTTTCGCGAAATTTTGTCTACCCCCCTATTTTCGATGATGCTGAATACGAATCTGCAGTTTTTTTGTGCGGTCGAACCTAGTTTTCGAGAAAAAAATTTTTCAAAATTCTAACCTGGATAATTCAGATAACACTACGTAGAACTCTGTATATTTTATGTAGCTTTCCAGAACATCTGTTATGAACAATTAACACTGTTCACGAAACACATTTTCGTAAATTTCAAGTAAAAAGATATGTATTTAATAAATAAAAATTTTGTAGTTTGAATCCGCCATTTGTAATTCGTGATGACAACATTGAGTTCCCCCACTCTCATTCATCTCTGTTCATCCCACATAAAGTTACTATAATTTTATTTACTAAATACATATTTTTTTTAGTTCAAATTTGGGAAAATGCGTTTCTTAAACAATGTTCATTGTTTATTACAGATGTTCTGAAAGCTACATAAAATATACAGAGTTCTACGTATTGTTATCTGAAATATTCAGGTTAGAATTTTGAAAAATTTTTTTTCGCAAAAACTGGGTTCGACCGCACAAAAAAAACTTCAGATTCGTGTTCAGCACCATCGAAAATACGAAAATAGGGGGCTAGACAAAATTTTGTGAAAATTGGAGGTGGTGCCACTAAAGTAAATAATTACCATACAGGATTGTTTTAAATAAAATTCCATAATAACGACGACAATATGTTTAATTGTGCCTACTTAAACTTAAAACTACACACAGATCATAAACGACTCGTGGCAAGTGTTCATCAAAGACTACCACACTAGAAATGTGTGTGAACCTTTAACAAATTATTACTATACAGCTTAGGAACCGTAATACTGATAAAAGAATCTTTGAAAAAGCACCATGCACAAACATCAATTAAAAATAAAATAAATAATTTTGCACCCAGAAACAAACCATACGGTCTATAAAAATATAATTTCTCTATTACATTAAACTTTAATAAATAAACAAAATTGGACTAGACTTATTCCCAGGCGGGTAGCCCGAACTGTTCCGGTTTAAAGTCCTCCAGGGACTGTAACACTAACGTAGCTGGTTTCCTGAGTTCTTCACCGACATCGGGTGACGGAACCATGACGGCTTGCATACCCGCTGCTATTGCCCCTCTCACCCCATTCGGAGCGTCCTCGAGAACCAGACACTGCGAAATGGTAACATATGGTTAATTAAAGTAATTAATTGGTCATCAGTTTAATTTCTTTTATTAATAATCAACTTGGCTGTGGTGTGGGATGTATAAAATAGAAATTACCAAAATGTCTGGCTGTTTATGGATACAAATGATAAGGTTTAGCGTAGCTCATAAATTGCAATTCATTCACGGCTACCGAGACCAAAATTCAATCGTGACAAACCATATTAGATGTGATTCACAAATGGTGACGAAAAATAAAACCTTGCATTCTTTGGTGAATTTTAAGGGAGTCTTTCCTATAGTTTTTATCTAGGACACTTTGTTAAAAAGACAGGGTGTTAAATTAAAAATATATTTTTAATTTTTTTAAACAATTTAAAAACTAGTAAGTGAAATAATTTGAAATTGGGCACATGTATTTATGTAAACATTGTCCAAAATCTGGGGCTTTGTTCTAAAATATAGATGCTCCAGGGACGCAGATACAGAGGGTATCAGTGGCATATTTTTCTAAAAAAAAGTACGCCGCTGCTTCACGGTAATAATCATGATATTTTCGGATTGGTTTTCCAATTTTCTACAAATTAATACCCTCTTATGTTTTTCGAAAAAAGCCTGATTTAAGAGTGAAACTTAAAAAATAAATTGAAAGCACTTTTACTTAAATGATATGACAAACACTAATCATTCAGTTCTTTAATCCAAATTATTAACATCAGTCATCATTTTAATGATTTAATTTGAGTAAATACCTCCATTTCCACAAACACAGGCGCGACATCTTTTTAGTAACGAAAATGTAATTTGTTCGAAATTTATTATTATTATTTATTTTATTATTATTATTATTTATTCTTTCTTATTCTAACTGCTCAGGTGTATTAATTTGTTCACTGTATACCAGCCATTTAACAGCACCCCACAAAAAAAATGCAGTAGGTTGAGGTCCAGTGTTTTCAATTTGTTTTTTAAGTTTTACTCGAAAATCAGGTATTTTTCCAAAAACATAAGAGTGTAGTAATTTGTACAAATTTGAAAGACAAATCCGAAAATATCAAGATTGTTACCATAAAGCAGTGCCGTACTATTTTATTTAGAAAAATATGCCACCGATTCCCTGTATCTCAGCTACTGCAGCATCTAAATTTTAGAAAAAGGCCTCAGATTTTGGACAATGTTTACATAAATACATGTGCCCAATTTCAAATTATTTCACTTACTAGTTTTTAAATTATTAATAAAAGTTAAAAATATTTTTTCAAGTATCTTTTTGAACGAAGCGTCCTAGATAAAAACCTTATAGGAAAGATTCCCCATAAAATTCAACAAAGAATACGAAGTATCGTTCTTGGTCACCGTTAGTGAATCATCCTGTATATTGTATTTTAAAGTCTCCATATTTTTCTGATGTTAATGCAGATGAAGCGCTAATATAAAAATGTCAAGTGATTTTTATTAAATTAATATTTTTTGGGTGATTTATTAAATATTATCTAATTATACATATTTACTTTTTAGTAAAATGTCCATAACAAAAAATAAATAGAAATACCTACTAATAATCTACCATGATTTCAAATATTTTTAAAAAATTTTATAAGATTTTAATAAAAAGTATTTATTTTTTAAAACTGTTCAGATTGTGAATCTTAGTGTCGTCAATAATCAGAGATATTGACCTACAATAGATACCGACAATAAATAAAAATATTTGCTGATCTGATGGATTTGAAATATTTTTTAAAATAATTTCAAATTTTTTAATAAAAAATCTTTCTTACTATATTTTTAAAGCACTGTGTTTAGTCTGTGAATAGACGGGTCATAATAACCTCTAATATTAATCTAGTTTAAGTGAAATACATACATCAATCCATGTGATATGAAAATTACTATAAGAATTTCATTCTGAAAAATCAGTTTCCACAACCAAATTTGAGAAAACAAACATATATTTCCACAAATCAACGGTGGCCTCTGTATAAATATGCTCCAAGATTTACAGTTTTACACCCTACATAAGCTTCAACGTTTAAAAAATATTTAAAGTGCCAAATTGCAGAATTTAATAAATCCCATTGAATTCTAAATGAAGTCACTAAAAATTGCCAAAATTTGCCCAATAAGTGGTGAAACTAGTTGTATTGTCTCCAATTTTTTTGCCAATTTATTTAAGCTAGGAAATTTACAATTTATGCAAATATTTTTTAATTAATTGGTAAAGATTAAAACGGGTTTAGAAGTGAAGGTTTTACATACTTTTAAACCAAAAAGAGAAACTTTAAATTTTAATATCAATAGGAACAGATATTTCAGCAAGTACAGCAAAATAAATAATTGTGTGTGGTTGGCAAAAAAAAATTGTTTTAGCAAACAAATTATTTCTCAATACATTTCAACGTATACCTAAAGGTCTAAAATATTTTTCATACAAATATGCATAATTTGAAATAATATAAAACACCTCTATCAATTATTTTAAATTAGCATACTTACTAAAGGAAAAAACAATACACTACACTAAGTTTGGTATAATAAAATGTATGTTGACTTAATGCCTATAATAAACGTTGACTAATTTTTCAACATCGTTAAACAAATTTACTAGACTAATAATATAAGGTTACCCATTTGTGGACCTAGTTAATGTATATGCAGTATTAAAAAAATATTTTAGTCCCACATAATTTAAGACCTTGCATTCAAGTTTTAAAATAATTAAAAATTTAATAACAATTACATACTTTCTACTGAATAACAATAAAGAAGTATTAAATTACATAATCATATTCAAACATTGTAACTGATGAAGTATTTTCCATTGTTAACTTTGTGAATTAAAGCTATTATCACCTGATGATGATAAAATTAAATTAGAAACCTGTGTTTTCCCTGTATTCGATTGTTTGCTTTTAAATAAGCCATCTGTGTAAGAACTGATTTATTTTATATCCTTATTAATGATAAAATATATATAAAATTAAATAGCAAATTTATCAGAGCTAGTCTAAAACTTATTTATTATCGCTGATATATGTAAACAGATTATATTTCATGTCAACTTGTTGATAAATCTTGAAAATAAAGCAAGATTCAATGAAAAAAAAATTATAATAGATGTATTGCAAATTATTTAAACATCAATTATGCAAGAATGATCAGAGCATGATATTTTCAAGTGGGTTTGCATAGTTTGCAATCATGGATATATAATTATTAAATGTGATTTTCAATCAAATAACAATCACGTTTTATCACCTCTCAATCATGATTTTTGCACGAACCATCGTTATCAATGATTGTTATACATGATTTCGTACAATTTTTTTGAAATATTTGGCCTTAATTGGAAATTAGAAACGTGGTGTTATCAAGTCATTTTGATTAAATAGAAATATGTAAATGTTTTTAAATATTTTTTTTACGGTGGTATTTGTTGCGTGTTTATGTTTATGTAAAATTTATAGAATTATAGAATAAATATATAGAATTATATTCTATATAATATATAATTATATATTTATATGTATTATATATCTATTATATACTTTATGTAAAATTATTATACCTGAGAAGGATGGGGTTTATCGGGGAACCTCGAGGCACACACCAAAAATATATCAGGGGCAGGTTTTCCATGCTTGACCTCGGGATCGGTACTTCCACAAACGATATGGTGAAACAGCTTAAAGATATCCTGATGGTTCTTTGTCTTAAGCTCCATAGAATCCTGCGAAGAAGATGTCGCCACTGCTATTGGTATCTCGTTCTTATAAAAGTGTTTGACCAGTTCCTTAGCTCCCGGCATTAGAACTGGGTTTTGCAACTCCTTGTGTACTTTTTCTTTGTAAATTATTAGGAATTCTTCAGGTGAAATGGGCAGTCCCATTTCTGTGACAGCTATTCTGGCTGTGTCCTTTTCTGGGGTTCCCAAAACTTTCACTCTAATGTCTGTGGTATATTCTTTACCATATACTGCTGCTATGTCATTCATAATTTTATCATACACAGACTCGGACTCTAAAATCAATAATCTATTATTATATATGTTAAAATGGATTTCTTGTAAATGTATGATAGTTTCATGAACAAATAGTTAAATTTAAGATAAAATTTTATATCTGTATTAGAAAAAAAAATCAATATTTATCGAGAACTGCATTATATTTTTAGAAAATAGTAACTTACCAATAAGAAGTCCATCCATATCAAAAATAACGTGAGTCACTTTTTTGAACAGCATTTTCATAGGATTTGAATTCCCTTTAATTTTTTTTCCGACCTCCCGGACGAAATAAAGAGAAAAGGATAAAGAACACTGATATTTTTCTCTAATGTCGATCAGATCGCTCGTAAATGCAATCCCAGATTGACCGCCGTCCTCTCATAAACCTCAGATTTTAACATTAACTGACGTCAGCGGAAAAATACATGCGTAAACGGGACTCGAAATTTGCTGAAGTATTATGAAACGTTGTATCAGGTTGTGCAATGTGCATAGTGACCAGACCCTAGTAACTTCACCAATAGATGATCGAAAATTACCCCCACTACCTGACTCCAGAGCCCGAGAGGATAGCGATATATCTCTGTCCTTTTCTACCATTCATTTACAAATTTGACAGCTAACGTCGTGGGAGGACGCCATTTTTATTTTCGCTTCTGATTGAGTGGTTGTGTTTTGATCGTGTGCAGTGTTTTATATTGTGATTTATTTTGCTTTTAGACAAAAATGTTTTATTGTTGTGTGCCTTTTTGTACTTCAAAAGGAGATGCTGTCCCTATGCACAGATTTCCAAAGGATGAAGAAGTAAGTTAAATAAATAAAATTTTGAATAATGAATCCAATTTGTCTTTAAATATGTTCAGTTTTATCAAGTTGTTGGCGTAATGACCACTTTCATAATCCACTTTAGTAAAACTTTAATAATTTAAGTCTGCCAAGTTTCATAATGCAAGTTTAGCTCATCAAAATGTTAATTTTCGTTTGAGAAATCGTGATTTTTTGTGTTGATTTATCATACCTATATAAGTAGGTATCTGTCGCATTTTCATTATGAAAACTGTTAATATTAAAATTTGCTTTTGTTAAAGTGTACAAAATGTTGATTAATTATATAATATATATTATTTTATATTTCAGCTGTGTGGCACTTGGTTACAACTTTTAAATGTTGAAAGGTCTACATAAGCTTCAAC